ACATACAAGAGTGAGGAGAACATGGAAACAAGAAATGCAAGCTTTTCTTTCTTCACACTCTGCTCCCCTCCAGGTGCGCTTCCTGGAGCAGCAGAACAAGGTCCTGGACACCAAGTGGACCCTGCTCCAGGAGCAGGGCACCAAGACTGTGAGGCAGAGCCTAGAGCCTTTGTTCGAGCAGTACATCAACAACCTCAGGAGGCAGCTGGATGGGATCCTGGGGGAGAGAGGCCGCCTGGACTCAGAACTGAGGAGCATGCAGGACCTGGTCGAGGACAATAAGAAAAAGTAGGTTAAAGAAGAATGGGCTCAGGTTCCCAACGCTCATACCTAGACACGAATGAGTGGCCAGGGCTAGATGTGGGCATGACCACTGAGCACTGTATGTCCATTGAGGTGAATATCAAAATTCAAGGCTAGAAGCAAATAAAATAAAACAAAATTCAAGGCAAGAAGCAAATAAAATAAAATAAGCAAATAAAATAAAATAAGCAAATAAACTAAACACAGGAGGCCAAAGATCTGAAAAATGAAGGCACCTTCAGGATCTCTGTGGCATAGAGTTGGATATTCTTTATCTATGGAACACGTAGATCCCAGGCTTCCTTTCAGCTTCAACCACACACTAGCTCAGATGTGTGTCAACCCTCTTCTCCTAGATACGAAGATGAAATCAACAAACGCACAGCAGCAGAGAATGAGTTTGTGACCCTGAAGAAGGTGAGCTGATTTTCAGGGTTCTAGTTTCTCTGCTCAAGGAGAGACATGACTCTGCATCCCCATCCAATCTCACAAGACCATTGCCATGGTGATAAAATGGGGGCTGGGCAGGAGGGCTCAGCTGACTCCACACTGTCTGCTCTTTCCCCAGGATGTGGATGCTGCCTACATGAATAAGGTGGAACTGCAAGCCAAGGTGGACAGTCTCACAGATGAGATCAACTTCCTCAGAGCCATCTATGAGGCAGTGAGCATCTCCACCTACTTTCCTTCACTCAGATGGGTTCTGCAGGGTGGGAAGTCATATGTCCCCATTGGGCACCTTGGTAAGCAGCCCAGGCCAAGATGACCTTAGGACTTCGTGTTCTTCAGGAACTGTCTCAGATGCAAACCCACATCTCAGACACTTCTGTGGTGCTGTCCATGGACAACAACCGCAACCTGGACCTGGACAGCATCATCGCCGAAGTCAARGCCCAATATGAGGAGATCGCTCAGAGGAGCCGGGCTGAGGCTGAGTCCTGGTACCAGAGCAAGGTGAGCAGTGACTTGGCAGCCRCTAAGGAGGCCYCAGCCCCACCCTGAGCTCSAGAAGCCTCCTGACTTCATGGGGGAATTWCTGAAAGGAGGCTAAAGTCCTGTCACAGAAAGTGTACCCCACATGCTTAGAACAGCTCTCAGATATGATGTCCGAGTCTAGGAAGAAGAAGCAGAACCCCCAGGCATGAGGAATCTTCCATAAAGGACCAAGTCATCTTTGCTTAAGCTTCACTTTCACTGATGGCTCTCAGAGACACAGAGCACAACATTGTCAGTCCCTGAGCGTTAACTGTCTCTGGTTCCCACCAGAATRTTCTGTGGCTTGGTTCCACCATGTCCAGCCACTTAACATCAACTTTTCTAAAATTCATTGAGGAGAAGCCAATAGGTGGAGATTACTCCCTGTCTGATTCCGAAGGGAGACACCATTGTGCACATGTAAAACCCCACCCATTCTCTGTCTCCCTCTCCCCCTGCACGACAGTATGAGGAGCTGCAGGTCACAGCAGGCAGACATGGGGATGACCTGCGCAACACCAAGCAGGAGATTGCTGAGATCAACCGCATGATCCAGAGGCTCAGATCGGAGATCGACCACGTCAAGAAGCAGGTACAGGGCAGAGACAGGGTCAGGGCTGCTTGTCCATGCAGTCCAGCCTCCTGGGCTCTTCTTCACTGGGCAGGAAGAGCAGGGATGAGCCTCCTGGAAGGCCCAGGCTCCAAGCCCATTTCCTTGCTCCCCCTTGCAGTGCGCCAGCCTGCAGGCCGCCATTGCTGATGCGGAGCAGCGTGGGGAGATGGCCCTCAAGGATGCCAAGAGCAAGCTGGAAGGGCTGGAGGACGCCCTGCAGAAGGCCAAGCAGGACATGGCCAGGCTGCTGAAGGAGTACCAGGAGCTCATGAATGTCAAGCTGGCCCTGGACGTGGAGATCGCCACCTACAGGAAGCTGCTGGAAGGCGAGGAGTGCAGGTGGGTGACACACCCCTCTGAGCACCTGTGGGAGGGGTCTGGCCCTGAGCAGGGGATTGTGGCCAGCACTGGTGAGTGCTGTCAGGAGACTCTCTGGAAAAGGGGAGGGCGGTCTCTGTGAGACTCGGGTGGAGGCTTCTCCTGGGATCAGGTATGGRCTGTGGAGGGCTCATCCTCTGTGTTCCTCTCCTCCTAGGCTGAGTGGCGAGGGYGTTGGACCCGTCAACATCTGTAAGTACTTGGCTTGTCTGCCTCCCAGTTGTTGACCTGGTGAGCTGGCTCAGGTGACAGAGTGAGCTCACGGTGTCTGTGTCCTGTTGTCCTCCCTACAGCTGTGGTGCAGTCCACCGTGTCCAGCGGCTATGGCAGTGCTGGTGGTGCCGGCAGTGGCTTCGGACTGGGCGGAGGCAGCAGCTACTCCTACAGCAGTGGTCACGGCCTTGGAGGTGGCTTCAGTTCTGGCAGTGGCAGAGGCATCGGGGGTGGCCTCAGCTCCTCTGGTGGCAGCAGCTCCACCATCAAATACTCCTCCACCACCTCCAGCAGGAGCTACAAGCACTGAAGTCCTGTGCTGGCCCTTGTCCCCACCCTGCTCAGCCCTCTGGTGCAGAGCCCTCTGCTCAGGATCTTTTCCTCCTCTGCCTCCACCTCTGCTCTCTAGCTGGGGCTGCGGAAGGCCCCTGCCCTCCTGCCTCCTCTGTCTTCCTGCTCCTCTGAGTTTCCACAGCTCATCTGTAGAATGTCAATAACCATTGTCACTCAGACATGGGAACATCGTTGTGATGTTCCTTTCTATAAGAATTGCCATTATTCTGTGATGCCTATTCCATATGCTCCATTTAAGAACTGAACATGAGTCCACTGCAGACAAGGAGTCCTCCCTATGATTTCTAATTTCCCTGTTGTTGTAGCTGCCTTCCGGGATTCCTCATCTGCCCCATGCATGGTCTTGCTGTTCCCTTGGCAATGAAAGCTATGTGACATAACCCCTCTGGTGTTTTGAATCTGTATCCCCACACTATTTTTCTCTGGTCTCTTTGGCTCTATTTGTTCTGTTAAATAAAGTACATTTTAAATATATTTAAGGGTTTTTTTGTTGTTAAATTGACTCTGAATCTTTCTTTCTACAAACTGTTCATCATCTTTGGGGGACCATCCCTCTCCCACTGACAGTGCACCATGCTCCATACCTAAAGTGATGTAGGAATTTTCTAGATGGAGATCACCAATACTCTTCAACCTTCCACACTTCAGGATTTTCCCCCCAAGTAGAGTCTTTTAAAAAGCATTAGGACTAGGAGGGAATTTGGTCCTGGAAGGTGGATCAGCACAATCTTATAACTTAAGTTCACTTATTTTTTTCTTTTGTTACCATCATTTTGTGGCTTTGTCCCCTCCGTTATCTCTGAGACTCCTTCAGAAACTCCACCTCCCATTCCCCCACCCCTTAGAGACACTACACAGATCCTACAAAATAGAAACTGTTGGCAAGAAGGCACAATACTCATCTCTCTCTCTCTCTGATTATTAATATAACTGTTGCAGAGATTGCTTTGATACAAACCCTGAGATGTATCAATCAAACCACATAGTACAGAGAGGAGCATCCACRACCTCAGGGTGTGGATTTGTAGCCACATGCTGCTAAATGTGTTGGATGAATTTGACACAACCCAGATGTACTTGAGTTCAAGGAAGATGCCTCTTGCAAGAGGCTGGTTAAACACATAGAACTATACACCTAAAAATGGTGAATTTATTTGTCTATACCTCACACCTTATTAACCCTGAAAAAAAGTGAAGCCGTAAAAGTCAATAAAATCAATCACTAAAATCTCAAAGCAGTGTTGGTTAATGATTTTGTTTTAAAGTACTGTTGGCACAGATGAGATTAAACCATGTTCCATGTTGATCAATGACTCAGATTAGTGAGGACGTGGTTCTTAAGATCTTTTTCACTTGGCATTAGGATGTTTAAAAGTTTTTTAAATTTTACACATCCATGCAAATTTTGACAAGCAAAACTAKATGTGGGAGGTTCATTTAAATCTGTCTAGATATCAATGTCTTTGACCTTTAGGCAGAGACAAACTCTCTAGATTTTAGGCTATGTTTACACAAGCTTATTCTGGAGTCTGGCTAATCGGACAATCCACAGCATGTCTTATCTATAAGAAAAAGAATACATAGCACAGGAAACTTCCACTAGAACAACAATACCCATCTCAACTGTAATGGTAATTTGCTAATTTCAAGCCACAATAGATACCTTCTCTGATCAGATTAGTTCTAATTTGTTTACATGGCTGTTACAGGTAGGCAAGGGTCTTACTGCTAGACAGATCACTAGGCAGAAGCTTGGGAGTTGGGAGACTTTGGGATTAGTGATTTCCCTCTGTGTCTACCACTGCAGTCTGAGGTCAAGGCAAGATAGAAGCAGACCTTGAAACTGCTACACTGGACAAAGCCCAGAAGCTGATAGAGAAACATCCCAACGTGGCAAGACAGACTCATTTCTCCTCTCCCTGTGGAGAACTCCAGGACAGTAGGCCACCTATAGGTACCCCTTCTGTGAAGGCCATGCAAGGACCCAATTGTGAAGAGGCCAACTGGATGCCAGTTGATTGCTGGTTAGAGCAGGCATTATTACTGTCCCTGTCACCTAAGAATAAGGTCATCCAGACAAAACAGAGTACGCCCAGTTAAATTTGAACTTCAGAAAAACAATAAAAATATTTTAGTATGTTGCAAATATTGCATGGAATGCGCTTATACTAAAATATTATTTGTTGTTTACCTGTACTGCACATCTGTATTTTTATGCTAAATCTGTAACCCTGCCTAGATGGTAGATCTGTCCTCATACTGAATGTGATGAGGGCAAGGTTGGCTGGACTGTTGCTTTGGATTTCTGCTGAAGGACAGACAATAGGCAAGGACCAAATATAAATCCCTTTCCTCTGCACCTTCCCCTCACTGTCATCTCAGGTCTCCGCTTCACGCACCTGCCCCAACGTACCTGCCCCACTCCAGCAGCCTGGCCTCTCCTAAGGGCTTTTAGTCTTTGTGGCCCTCTTTGTCACTCCTTCGATGTAGTCCTACAATTTCTCAAGACTGATCCTCCAGCTGGTGGTTGTTTTAAAAGACAATGTATTTTTTATGTTTGTTATTTATTAAAAGATATTAACCCAGAAAAAAAGGAGGGACAGGTTAAAATACTAAGTGTTTGATTGTGAGGAGTGAGAACTTGGATAATTACTATTTTTCTTTTTGTGCTTTTCTGCTACATAAGGATAAGTGTCCTGCTGCCTGGCCCCACTGCAATACCACTTTTATTACACACTGAATTCCCACATTTTCTCTTCAGTCGCATTGATCTCTGTGCCTGATTACACCATTGTAGAGCTTTATATGACAGCTTTTTATATACATTGGTTTCTGATTCAGCAAGTCCTACTCATGGTTTGTTTTCAGTGTTTTCTGGTTACCCTTCTTGTTTGCTGCATCGTTTTCTCTTATCTAAAGGTAGCACATGAATATTGTTGACTTCTGTACCTTGTTCTTGTACCCAATCACCTTGTGAAACGTCATCCCCATTTTAAGATGAGAAAACCAAGCCTCAAAAAAGTTAAGTAACATGACAACGAAGAGGCAGAGCAGGGTCCAAGGGTGGATGGGCCTCGATTCGTAATCTGTGCTCCCCCCCTTCTCTGGGATGTGTGGTCTCACGTGGACTCAGGCTTCCTCAGCTCCCCTGTGGCCTTTGGCCTTTGGCCATAGGGAGGGACTGACCTGTGCCTTCTCCTTGGCTCCAGCCCCTTGCATTTCTTGCCCTCTGGTGGAGGCACCCCTGCCCTGGGCTGCCAAAAGCAGTGGCAGGAGCACTCTCTTCACCTCAGTGAAGCAATGCTGGCCCATGACCTCAGCTGATGACATACACGCCAGCGAAGACACCAAGCAACGCCTGCCCTCTAGCCTGGGGAGTCCAGCCCACACTAGGAGGAAGATGAATGGTTGCTTTTTCCCAGGCTGGGTCTGTTGCCACTGTCTCCTCCTTCAGCTCTGAACTCTGGCCAGTTTTGTCCTTCCTCTTTCCAAGAGCCTCTCTAAAGCCTCCTGTCCACTTTTCCCACTTTGACTTCTTGTCTACTCCTGGGCAATGAGGAAGGAAGGAGTAGAGTGTGACCATCATTAGCTCGTTACATTTTCCTCTGAAAATATCTTCACAATTCACTCCTATGTGCCCTCTGTCATTTATCGTTCCAGCGGTCACTTGGCAATGTAGTCAAAGGCAGCCTATGGCATGGCAAGGTTCTGGACACTAAAGAACAATTTAAAAGAACGTAGGTACATTGTTAAGTGCGGCTGACTTATGGGTCTCCTGTGAGCAAACCTTCTCACCTGGCCAAGCTAGAACTCTACCCATAACACACACACACACACACACAGAGAGAGAGAGAGAGAGAGAGAGAGAGAGAGAGAGAGAGAGAGAGAGAGCGAGAGCGCCCAAGAGGCAAGGCAATGAATGCCAAGTGTGAAGGTCCATGAGAAATGGCAGACCAGCTTCAGGGGTGCTCAGTAGCACCCATTCCTTCAAGGACAAAATTTTTAAAATGTAGGGAAACCCTACTTCAATATTAAATCTATAAAATACCATGATGCCCAAACAGCATTATCATAGCAGAGTATATACATGCGGATCTTACGGAAATATTCAGCACTCAAAACAAACTAGAAGCCTCACTTCCATTTATTACCCAATCATATCTCATAAATCATTCCAGAAAGAATCTATATTCATCCCTAAAACTTCCCTCCAGGGAATACATTCCTGTTTGGCATTAGAAGGTAGAAGTAATTGAATCCCTCTTGGTGAAATTTAAGTTTACTCCCTAGTGGTATCAATAATAACAATGACAAAGAAACAGATTGGTCTCTGATCACAATTCCTTTCTCCTTTCCTCATACCTCCTATTTCCCAATTCATTCTTCATTTGCATGAGTTTTTGGGCTCCCTCAAGGCTGGCCAACTCTTGTTTAATAAACCAGTGCTTAGGGGTGAATGAAAGGCACTTGCAAGTATTTCCTTTAAAAGGAATTTATCTCTCTCATTGGCCTGATGAAGCACATCCAGAATATGCACAGGGTAGGAATCACACAGAGGGCACTGGGGCATCTGCCCATGAGGTCATTGCCATTTATCCCTTTCCCTGGAAGGGAGGAGAGAGTAGCATCCTGGCTGCTCAGATGTAACCTGCATCATGGACACAGAGCTGGTCTGCTCCGTGGACACCATTTCTTCCATAGATACCAGTAGGACATCTGTCTGGTTTTACCCTCTGCAAGCTGCATGTTGATCAATTGCACTAGGATTGCATACCAAAAGAGCTGACTAATGAGACAGCCCTGTGCCATGTCCTTCTTCAAAGAGACTAATTCCCTTGTACTAATGARTCATGGGCCCTAATGTTCCTTTCTTCTATATCCAGGCTTTTGAATATTTACCCTTCTTAAAGAAGAGCAAGAAGAGGTTCTTGTTCTACAGTTATATCCAGTCAACCA